GTCTTAGCGTTTTAGTTGCGCCCCACGAAACCAACTTTTTTTTCCTCCTCGTTCTCCCGCCCACAGACCTCTATAAATAATAACTTCTGTCAACCTTCAACGGCTGCCTACTCTGCCCGACAAAAAGAAGACGTCTCATCGATTCTATACTCCTGACCTTGTGAGGAACTTATAGCCCTCGTCTTATTTCTTTGTCTTTGCCCGTCCTCTAATTTTCCGTCATAAAAAGGCGACCACATCCTCGGAGCTTGCAGTCTATCGTTGCTCTCGCAGATGTCCAGAGCTGTGGCCTCGCGCTACGTCGTGCTGTTTTGAGCTCGATCTGACTTTGCCTTCCATGAACCCAAAGGACTTGCTGCGATTCCTGTCTAAGCCAGCAAAGTAAGCCTTTCTCCTTATGTGCTATTTTCATGCGCTGGAAGCTGCCGATCGCATTATGACCATGACCCCCTCGTCAGGCACACAGTGAGCTGGAACTGACTCAATTGCTCCTCCAGGCCTCGATAACACGACTCACATCCCGAGTCATTTCCTTCCACGCTTCCAATTATCTTCTCGTTTCTTTCCAAAAAAGCAGATACTCTCGTCTGCTAGACCCGATACTTTGACCGGTATCGGTATCTTCCAGTACGAGGGTGCTCGCCATATAGTCACAATTCCTTTTTCAAGAGGCTTTTTCCTCCTCTCCCTGTCCTTTCGCCCTCCCTAGCATCCCCTTCGGGCTCGTGTTGAATTTCGTCTATCTGGCCTGTGTGCCATTCTCTTTATCGCGATAAAGGGCCTTCTCTCTCAGGCGGACATAGCCCCCCTGTTCGTCTGGGCAGCAGATAGTGCTTCCTAGGCTTTCTGTGTCTACGGTCAACTACATATACACCACTGCGTTGCTTCTCGTTTCAATAATCGGTCTCGCACCGGCATACGTTCACACAGGTCATTACGTCAATCAGCGGAAATGGTCTACATCGGCATCCCCCAGAATTACACGGCTTCGCCGTCTTCCTTTGCCGGAACTCCGTCCTTGACGATCAATTACCAGGCAACGCAGGATCTTGATTCTACCAATGCTTTTGAAGGTATGTCTACGCGGTGATGTGGTGTCTGAAAGCAGCATTGGGCAGAGGCTGACAGCCCACAGGTCCAGAGAAACTCTTGGAGGTGTGGTTCGCGCCTTCCGCTCAGGAATTAGGTCCGGCGCAGCCTGCCGGTTTGAAAGCTGTGCCCGAGGAGATCTGGAAGGACATGCTGGATCTCGTCAATTGCCAGGTCCTTTCTATTGTCTCGTCGGAGGATGTGGATGCTTACCTGCTCTCCGAGTCCAGCATGTTCGTCTGGCCTCACAAACTCATCTTGAAGACCTGTGGTACCACCACTCTTCTGTCCGGTCTCCCACGCATTCTCGAGATTGCCGCTTTGTTCGGTGGCTTCCCCAAGTCTACCGCTCCTTCTCGTGGAATCTCCGTCGCCGCCGCGCCCTACCGCGTGTTCTACAGCCGAAAGAACTTCCTGTTCCCCGACCGCCAGCGCGGCCCTCACCGCAGCTGGAGGGATGAAGTGCGGACTATGGATAAGATCTTCCTCAACGGTAGCGCCTACATGATTGGCAAGATGAACGGCGAGCATTGGTACTTGTACCTGACTGAACCTCATACCATGCTCACCCCGCCAACGAGCCCGGGAGCGAAGACCGAGTTTGCGGAAACGGAGACTAAGGTCCTCAGCGTACCTCAGGGCGCTGCTCTGCAGGCAGATACTGAGGATGAGACTTTGGAAGTCTTGATGACCGATCTGGACGAGGAGAACGCCAAGCAGTTCTACCTCGAGCATGCCACCGCGGTTGCGGAGACCCGTTATCGCAACTTTGATGCGGAGAAGAGTGACCATGTCGATGTGTTCAGCAATACTTCCTCCGATATGAGCGACCTGGACTCCGAAGGAAGCCGGGTTCTGCCTCCGGAATTGACTACCGAGGGCCACGCGCTCGGAACCGTCGTTTCTGAAGCTTGTGGTCTTTCCGACGTGTATCCTAAGGAGAAGTATCCCGACTCGCGCATCGATGCCTACCTGTTCACGCCGTGTGGCTTCTCCGCCAACGGCGTGATTCCGCCTCCTGAAGGAAAGACCGGTACCCACTACTTCACGGTGCACGTCACTCCAGAGCCACATTGCTCGTATGCGTCCTTTGAGACCAACGTGCCGCACTCGCAGAACGGCCAGGCCACTGCTGGAATCATCAAGCAAGTGGTCGACATCTTCAAGCCTGGCCGCTTCAGCGTCACTCTCTTTGAGGCCAAGCCAGCGCTGAGCCAGATCGAAGACGAGTGGAAGGAAGCCAAGTACCTGGCCGCTCGTCGGACCGCCAAAATGGAACATGTGGAGGGATATCGCCGGGTGGACCGGATTGTCCACGACCTCGACGGCTATGAGCTTGTGTTCCGCTACTATGAACGCCTGGACTGGAAAGGGGGGGCCCCTCGGCTGGGAGAGGAGAAATTTTGAAAGAACAAGCCATAGCACGTCGAGATATCGTTTCTTGCGGAATTTGGTCGGACATTCTTTTGAGATGGAAATAGTCGCATTCTACATATTTTGTTCTTCTTTTGCCCAATATTCGTTGAACAGTCAATAGCCTTTGCTTCCCTCATTTGAGCTTGCAGATAATTCTTCGAGAATTTGAGCGTTCGTTTCGTGTACAAAGCTCCTTGACTCCATGTACTGTCCTTACTGTTGTGATTTTGCATTGAGCTACTCGAGCGTTTGCAATGAACATCTGATTATAATCCGTATACATTCTTTCTTTGGTATGTGAACATATTTTATCTGGAATATATATCCGAGTTCACAAAAGTAGACTGGTAGTAACGTGTGGTGTTGATGGATTTGTTGGCCTGCGCCAACTGGCATCGATTACCGATCGGCAGACCTGCCAGATCGGTCCGGAGTTTCTTTCTGGTTGGGATCACTTCGCAGCTCCAACATACCTTCAACTTCATCCACTCGCTGCGCCAAAGCTTGACCGCGAATTTTTCATGATTAACTACAACAAGATTATAGATTTGGCTTTTCTCTTTGCGTTTTACAGTTAAGTCGGTGGAAGAGACAAAAGCAACATAGTCAGTCAGAGGGCCAACTCATATCAAACCAACGAACAACCTCCGTCAAGGCGAGCATCAACAAGGCATCCAAAAGCCCCCACAGGAGCTTACATACCTGATTGACTCCTTTGTCTATTCTCTCATACGACACAACTTCACAATGTCATCACCGCCACCTCACCCAACGCCGACGAATCCCCTCAAACGGCCCTCCATCTCCTCCTCCGCCTCACTGCCTCTCGGCTCCAACCCGAAACGCCCACGCATGCACCCCCTTCGGCAGACGTCCTTCCCCGCCAGTATAGACAGTGACCAGCGCGCATTCAGTGCCACTAGCGACGCGGGAAGTGTGACGGGCAGTTTCACAGGTAGTCTGGGCGGGACGAGCGCGGACGGGGTGTTTCTGGGGGCAGCGAAGAAGGGGAAACGCGGGCGCAAGAGTAAAGCCGAGAAGGAGCGGGAGCGGGAGCAGCGGGAGGATGCGGCGAGTCTGCGCGGGGAGACGCGACTGGGGTCTGTGGATGCGGATGGGATGTCGGTTCGGGCTGGTGGGACGGCGAGGGGGGATGCGGCCGGGGAGGATGGCGACGAGGATGAGGACTTTGATGACGAGGGGGAGATGCTGAGGGGTGAGGAAGGGGTGACGGATACGGAGGCCGAGAAGAAGAATCTTGCGTATGTTTCTCGCCCAGTTTACTGACCCAGCGTGTTTTGCGAGGCTGACGTTGGATTCTCGGAACATAGGTTACTGGTGGATGCGTTCAATCCTATTCAGTCGGAGCGATACGATCTGTTCAAAAGGGCCAAGCTGCGCAAGGAGACGCTGCGGCGGATTGTCAACCACGCGCTGTCCCAGTCTGTTCCCGCCAGTGTTGTGACGACCATCAACGGTTTCACCAAGGTCTTTGCGGGCGAGATCATCGAGAAGGCGAGGACCGTTCAGGCCGAGTGGGCTATCGCACATGATCAGGCCGCGCGCGCCGCCTTTGACGCCGAAGAGGCCGAGGCCGAGGCCAGGGCAGCTGAAGCAGCGGCGAGGGCGACGGGGGCCCAGGGACAAAGCCCGCCTCAGCCGTCGGTCAAGAGGGAGCACTCGGACAGCAATCGCTCAACTCCGATCCCTCCTTCATTGTCCTCTCCCATGCCGCAACAGCAGGGCTCGCAACCGTCCACGCCTTCTATATCTGGTCTTCCGCAGCAGCAGCAGCAAGAACAGCAACCCCCTGCAGCAAGACCAAAAAGGGAATTCAAACCGCCGCCTAATCCTCACCGGGGCCAGCTCCTGCCTTCTCATCTTCGCGAGGCATTGCGACGGTACAAGCGTGATGGCGAGGGCGGTGGTGTCGGTTTCTCGGGCTTGAGTATGGGCAACTTGGGAGTGAGGGGATCAGTCACCTGGAATGCCGGCAGTGCTGGAGGAAGACGCATCTTCCGATAGTGCTGCCTTCCTCGGTTTCTCTTACTTTCTGACATGATGACATGATCAAAAGCACTTCGGATTGTACATACATGTAACCTAATATATTGTAATGATGGCTCGGGCGGCATGGTTTCATCGTCAACCACGCAGGCATACTTAGGGCTACTGTCTTCGCCGTCAAAGGACTGGCTCCTCCCCGAAGAAAGTGACACTACAGGCAACCATTCTTACTCGACCGTCATATGCTTGCATTCATCTCTAGACCGATAGAGACCAGCGGGATACATTGCTCTCCAAACTCCCTGAACGGTTGATACCCATCTGCACCTGCAAAAATCTCCTTACATCACGAGAGCCTCTCTGCCCAATGACCACAATCCATTAGTCAATCAACCTATCCACAAGACAGTCAGCTAAAGACCTCTTCCACGCAAGCCATAGCACCCAACTTACCTAGCCAGACGCGACGAGCCACTGCCAGCCTAGGCCTAGAAAGGAAATCCAAGAACATCATCGTCGAAGCGGCGGCGGCGGCGGACGAGACGAACTCTCTGCGGGCCGTGGATCTCGTTGTGCTCGCGTCCATGTTGATCAAGGTACACCTGCGCCTGGCGGATGAGCACTCTCAGGACATCCACGATGGCGAGGAGGATGATGATCTTGGCGGCTGTATGGAGGAAGAAGACTAGGCTGGCGTTTTTGGTCATTGGGGACTTGAGAGCGATTAGCTCGCTAGATGTAGTGTTCATTGTATCTGGCGCTTGTTTGGTCAGTGTCTCTCTCTTACAGGGCTGAGGGTGGTTTGCCAGTTCTTGCTCACTTACCTTGAAGAGAGACGTGTGATCCTGGGTTTGGTATGGTGTCTTGAGCGGAAGTTGTGATGATGCTCACAGGACTGAATGCTTTAGGATGAAGGATTTGCACACTGCGATTCTGTAGTGATAACTGCTCAGGGAGAAGGGAAGTAGTCTTTCTGTCTCATTCCGTCAGAACACATTGTTTGTTATGGGAGAAGATCTTTTGGGCTCGGCGTGACGGTTACGCTCGTTGCCTGACGATGCGATAGGAGCATCTAACGACTCAGCGAAATCGTCTCGCCTGATTTGACGGTTCTCCATGGCAGTGAAGGTTTTTCTTTCATAGTGAAGATGGGAGAATCAAGCACTCTAGCCTGCACTGCTCATTCATCTTCATCTCTTCCTCCTTGATGCCGTACTTGTTTCTTTCAATTCTTGCACGCTCAACACATGCAAACAGGTCTTTAACTTGGAAGCACCTTTTTCTTTGTCTTTTTCTTTATCGTATTGTATTTCCTTGTTGTCCTCTATCGAAAATGTCTGATAAGATTGAGGAAATCCATGAGATAGAGGAACCTGCTCAGAACCAGAGTGAGAAGAATGACACTCCCCTGGCGAAAAGGACCGGCGTCCAGCGCGTGGAACGTCCTCTGCCCGAGCTCGACTCGAAGAATGGAGATACTTGGACGTACGATGATGAATCCTATCGCCGAGGAGGCATTCTCATCCCTGTTGAGGTCCCGAACGACGCCGCTCCCAGTGAGGACGTGGAAGTCAAGAGCGCAAAGCTCATTCTTCTCTTCGGTAAGATAGATTCCATTCCAAAGCGCAAGCTCAAGAGCCTCCCCAGTCTGGTGAGATGGTTATCAACTAATGAGATCTGTATCTCCGTAGGCCCCCCAGCTGCGGGAAAGAGCACTGCCGCAGCAAACGTGGCCGCAGAGCTTGGATTCATTCACATTTGTCCCGATCAGACGATCAAGCATCTGGGAAAGACAGGCCCATACCTCGCTTGGCTGACGGTTGTGCAGGCCATTGAGACCCAGGGAAGTGTGCCGAGCGAGTTACTGTTTCGTCTCGTGAAGATGGAAATCCAGAGACACATAGAGTTTGGAGCGACTACCTTCATCATTGACGGATGGCCACACTGCTCCGAGGACTTCACTCTGTTGCACGAAGTGAGTGATCCGTGACCATTGGCTCCGTAACATTCCATTCACCTTGCTCTCACCTTACCATTTAGCAGACGTTGACTCGCGATTGTTTAGACCTTCACTGTGGTGTCAGCTTTTCATCTGTACGCAACTCAAGACACACTTGAAAAGCGTGCGATGCAAAACCCTATGACCTTCGATGAAGGCACCAAGCGCCTCAAGTCCTTCCGAGACGGGATGGTGAGGTATTATCAAGAGCTGGGGGATCTCCTCACTCTGGACAGCTTCAAAGACGTTTTGATCCCGGTACGTATACAGCCACAATCTCGAGAATTTTGACAGGATCCAGGGCTAACTCCTTATGAGATGAGTGCCGAACAAGATTACCAGGTCTTTTACCCGCAGATCAGGTTAATCATCGAGGTAGGGATCTGAACCCCAGAGTTGCAAAAGATGGCGTTGATTGACAATAAATAGAAGAGGCTTGCTCGGGTTGAGGCTGCTTCAGAACTCGCGCAGACTGAGACCTCGTCGGATGAACATGAGCATGAGCATGAGCCCGTTGGAGATGAAAACCTTGACTAGGCGTGGTCGTTGATCTTGTCTTCTTGGGTGACGATCTTAGGAATAGCCGCTGTTTCTTGCTTGCGTCATTTCGCTCTTGCACATTTTGACAAGCCTTTTTCAGCCTGTGTCTCAGGTGAGGGTGTTGGCATTGGCCTTCGTGGTATCTCGTGTGGTTTCAAAATGAAAGATGTCTGCTTGTTGCTGGAGGTTGAATCCGAAGCTTTTGGTGGCCTGCCAGACCTGCTGACAAAGCAGCCTCTTTAACCAGGTAGTCATTGTGATAACGAATTGAGAGATACTGTATTCCAACCAAAGATCCTTTACCGTATAGGAAAATACGTCGTATAGCACATGAAGATTAAAGCGCCTCATATTGTACAGTTGCAGATAGACCGTCACACCTGATACAGTAAAACCAAGAAAGAAGAATTACCCCGATGCTCACCTTTGCTTGACCTTGAACGCCGAGCGCGCCTTTTCTCTTTCAAGCTCCAAGGCCTTCAGGTGAGCCTCGCGGCGAGCATGATTCCTCTCCTCCCGCTTCCAATCCTCTTCCTCCTTCCTTCTCCTCTCGTAGTCGGCAGCCAACTTGAGATCCTTCTCGCCAAGGCGAGGAGGCTCGGCGACAGTCCCATCCGCGTTCTTCACGGGGCCCTGACCACGAACGGCGTCCAGTTTCTCCGCCGTTTCACGCTTGATGTTGTCCTTGGCTTCCTTCAGGTTGTTCAAGGCGCGATCAATAAAGCTAATCTCCACACTATCAGGCGACTTGTGCTCTTCGTGAATCATCTTGGCTCTTTCGGCCTCCAGATGCTCACGAAGCATGCGGATCGACTTGCTCTGCTGCGAATCGTCTTGACCCGGGGACTGACCATTTTTAGGCTGTCTTACAGGGAGGGCGATATTCATTGATTTTCTGAAGCTGTCAGAGCCGAGAAGGTAGGCTTGGCCCAGACCAAATAGACCAGTCGTCACGAAATAGAGCTGGAGGGCGCTGGGGAAGAAGGCCATGAAGAGGAAGGAGAAAGCAGGCAACCCAAACATGAAGAGCTTGCCTAATGATGTGCCCTGGAGCTGGTTCACGCCATTTTCGCCTCCTTTCTACACAGGACGAAGACATTCTGAGTTAGTAATCAAGCCAGTAGCCCGAGGGATGAACGTCGACTTACCCGGATGCTTAGGTACATGAACAAGGACGACGCAGCGGGAAGTATGAAGTACGGGTCGGCAACGGTAAGATCCTTCAGCCAAGCGACGGATTCCATGGTCAGTCCTGGCACTGGCAAGGCTGCCATACCCTTGACGACTCTGTAGCAGCCAAAACCAAAGGGGATCTGAAGCATGGGAATGAAGGACTTCCATGCCGTGATACCTTGCTCCTGGTGAATCTTCTGGATTTCGGCTCGTAATTTCAGCATTTCCATTTGGTTGCCATCCTTTCCGCGCAGGATCATCTGCTGACGCAGAGGTTCCGTGATGGGCTTGACATTGAGCATTTTGGTCGAGGTGTCCACAGCGCCCAGCGTAGGATACAGAAGTGCTAATCGGAGGAGAAGACCGGTTCCCACGATACTTGCCCACCAGGGCAAGCCTCCCCACATGTGGATATGTTCAATGAGAAACTGAATGATTGACGACGGGCCCCAGCCGTAGTCGAGCCCTAGGTCTTTGAGGTATCCGATGTGCTCGGGGATCGAGCTGAGATCAGCGGCAGACAGATCAGAAAGGTTAGGTACGCCCATATCGGTAGGAGCGTCCGACAAATGCTGACTCGCAGTCGCATCGGTTGCGGAAGATGTCGAATTGAATCTTGCGGACATGACTCCGGGTATGGAGGCGGCAGGCTTCCATGAGATTTTTCCGGAAAGTGTCTGGGTAGGCCCTCCATAGCGTACAGGGAATCTCGAGCTCTGCGGTCTGAACGAAGAGATCTGCAGTATACCGACTCAAGTCAGCCAGGCGTCTACTTGCTTGCCGGCGGAGAAGAGGATATCGGGGGACAAACCGATCGGCTGGAGCGAGGGAAAGCAGTCAAATGTTGTCGAGCAATGGTGGGAATCCCACCACGCCCCTTCAGACCAGCCCCTGCCAGCATTGTGATATTTGGCCGCAGGAGATACCTAGTGGTTCACGAGCGACGGCGTTTTAGAGTGAGAAAACAACGGCTATATCCGCTGCCGAACTCGCGGAGATTGGACTTTTTCGCGCCAAGACTTGCTTTCTGCCGGGCGGCCGGAGTTTGTTCCTGACTATACGTCCCAATAATACCGGAGGCACAAGAGAGAAGAGGAATATCGTCCGGGTAGAATATCATTTGATTTAGATGAAATTTCCATACTCGCAATGCACAGCAAAACATGGACCGTGTCTTCGATATGCAGAAGTCGAATTGCTTCGCCCGACGCCGTCCAATCTGACCTACTGCTGGTGCCTTTTGGAATCTATGTACACATATACGCAACCCATGCTGAAGACGCGGGAATGAACAAACGACTAATGGATCACAAACATTGGATATCAAGAATTTGCGCAGAGAGAAATCTATATTTGGTGCCTGAAGGCGCGCAATCACTCCAATGATGCAGTATCTTGCAGACTTCCGGCTCTAGGCTGGTGCCGCGATGGAATGTCGCGAATCTCCATGCCTGGTCCCATGGGCCTTGACCGTCGATAAGTAGGGAAAATCTAGACGAGACAATGATCAGTCCAGTTTCGTTGGAGATGAGTCAATGTGCATTGGCGCATAATCGGAGGGAGACAGATACTGTACCCCCTCAAAGCGACTTCATGGAACGTACCTTTGTGTTAGACCAGCCAAGACGAAAAGCAGCCTCATGTGCAAACAATTCCCCAAATCCCAGCATCAACCCGTTGACAAAAGGGAGGATCAAATTGATCGCCGCCCCCCGCAAGATGCCCCAGATCGACGGAGGCTTATACAGAATCAAGGGCGAACTGGATGTCGACATAGGCGATGAAACTTCATGATTGGTAGAGTAGATTTCCGAGTCCGAGGGTACCGTCAGACCGGAGTCGTAGAGCTCAACCCTTGAGTGGGAGTGTTCGTCGGCCATGCTGCGGGACGCCGGTTGACAGGAATCGAAGCAACAGGAGCTCGTAGACGGTAGAAATCCGACAACTGTCGAGGATATACCTGGCGCTGCTTAATTCTCCGGGCACCAAATCAATATCGCTTTGTACCTTGCATGAAAAACGGGATGGGCGAGATGCTGTAGTTGTCGCAGCCAGATGATCAAGGAAACTGAATCGCCTACACCTGACTCCAAACGGTTATGTAAGCAAGAATAGTACTGAGTTACGCAATATTAATGTCGGTCAAAAGCCAACGACGGAGGGTTCCCAACGTCCCATACTTCTAACTGAAATTAAATGCTTATAATAGTACTTATCTACTGTTTAAGGTATTTGTGCTGGATGCAGTTTCATGAAAACTAGGGCGCTTTGCTGAGGGCTAACTGTCTCTTGTTTTTGTTGGTAGCAGTACAGACTACGGAGTATCCATAACCATAGTAGTGTTCCCTGCCAAAAGGCGGAGCTTCATGAAGCGACCATACTTCGAGTACGGACGAAGCTACCAGGATAAATACACGCAGTAGATAAAGGAGTCGCAAATTGTACTAATGTTTGAGATCCAAATTTAATAGCACTCGAGCTAGTGCAAGTCGTAGATTGTAAATGTAACAGAGCAAAGCACCTGAGGCATCAACATCTACTACTCCGTACACCGGGAGATCTCTTCTTCCGGATGACCAATCAGGCAACAGTGACGTATCCTCATCAGCGCGGTGTTTGTTCCTTAGTGAAATCGGGAGCTCCAGTGATAGTTTGGCATTCACTAATTCCTTTTTCGCTGGTCACCATACATCTCCTTCTGTTTTCAATTCTCGGTTTGGTGCTCTTCAGAAGTCACACCTTTCTTTACACCAGACTCAAGCGTTCGATAGCTGGACCGAGCTGTCTACTCATATCCTTCCAAGATGGAGCGTAACCCCGCCGAGAACGATGAGGTGGTTTCTCAGTTCTGTGCAATGACAGGCACGCGTCCTGCAGAGGTAATCCATTCACGCTGATTTTGTGGTGATGTCTGACGAACCCTTTCGCTGACATCTATATCAAAAGGCGCAAGAGTACCTGGCAGCCAATGGGTGGGATATCGAGGCAGCGGTGACAGAATTCTTCGCGGAACAAGACGAAGCCATGCAAGGTGCGAACACAGTTGGTGGTGGATCTCTTGGAGGTGCAGATTCAGCTGCACCAGCAGGTAGGTCACTTGGCGGCAGCTCTTCCCAGTCCGGAACTGCTACACCGCAGCAATCTTCCTCTTCATCGCACAAACCCACCTCTAAGAAGAGATTCGCAACACTCGGGGATTTTGCATCTGGAGGCCGTGATTCGTCCGATGAAGATGACGGGGAGACTCAAGATCTTTTTGCCGGTGGTGAGAAGTCAGGACTGGCTGTGCAGAACCCGGATGATCTCAAGAGAAAGATCATCGAGAAAGCCAGAAAGTGAGTCTTAGTCTCACCTGATTATTATACTCAATTTATGACAGAATACCTGACGACTACGTATAGGACTCAGCCGCCGTCTTCTGACGAACCCCAAACAAGACGATCCTACTTTACCGGCACTGCACGCACCCTTGGCGGTGACGACGCCCCCAGCCGGGTCATAGAAAGCCCGAGTGCACCTACACTACAGAAACCCCAGCGAGTACAAAGAACGCTTCACTTTTGGGCGGATGGATTCTCTGTCGACGACGGTGATCTCTTCCGTTCAGATGACCCACGAAATGCGGAAATTCTTGACGGGATCCGACAGGGCCGTGCCCCGCTATCCATCATGAATGTAGAACCAGGTCAAGAAGTCGACGTCGAGATCAAGCAGCATGAGGAAAAATATGCCAAGCCTAAGCCAAAATACAAGCCTTTCTCCGGAACAGGGCAACGACTCGGCAGCCCGACTCCGGCCATCAGAAGCCAAGCCCCTTCTGAGGCTCCGGCCCCTAGTCAGCCAAGCGCAGAGTCTGTCAAGCCTGACGTGGATGAGTCGCAGCCGATCGTGACCCTACAAATCCGACTTGGTGATGGAACTCGTCTAACATCTCGATTCAATACCTCGCATACCATTGGCGACGTCTATCAGTTCGTTTCCGCTGCCAGCCCATCCAGCCAGGGCCGTCCCTGGGTGTTGATGACCACGTTCCCGAACAAGGACCTTACAGACAAATCTGCTGTCCTTGGGGATCTACCTGAGTTCAAGCGAGGTGGTGTGGTCGTACAGAAGTGGCAGTAAGCTGCTGCTATGGAAGTTATGGCTCCTGAAAGTTCTGTTGGCCACCTCAAACCATAGAAAAGAGGCCCTTTTTCTTGCAGGCGATCCATATTGTGATCTCCTAACAAAATTTGAGCCAATGACACGATTTATGTAATCCAGATATGGACGAGTAAATAGGCAATTCCGGTCAAGAGGACGACTCGCATATCACGAAACGATCCTGCGCACGAGGACTTTAGAACTAATGTCTTTTCCTATCTATTGCAGCTTGTAGTCGAGGATATCTTATCTATTGACGACATACCTCTCGTAAGAGGTAAATAGTTTCAAGACGAATCTCCGGATTGATAAGCAGTCTTCCCCACATGGCGGGATGACGCTGAAAAAGTGAGCGAACTGCGAAATCGGCCGTTTTGCCATCACCTTTTTCTCCGTCTCCGAGTGGAAATTGAAGTCTCGCAACTTCAAAATTGTCAGATAGCCGGCGAGAAATGCCTCTCGACGGAGTCAAGAACATTGTGCTGGTGAGTCGCGTTTTCCCATGTCATTTTTTTCTGTCCAGCACAAACCCCTCATCGCATCTTATCGATAACGGTCCTACGTCAATGAGGGATGAGTAGTAGAGGAATCCATGAGCCATACTGGGGCAATACAGACTGTTTTTGACTGAAGCTGAATTGCTTCGGTTTAAAGTCTTCTCCCACAATCGTTACTGACACTCTGCGAATGTGAAAGGTCCTCTCCGGCAAAGGTGGCGTCGGCAAATCTTCCGTCACCTTACAACTCGCCCTTGCACTCTCGCTTCAGGGCAAATCCGTCGGTATCCTCGACATTGATCTGACAGGCCCATCCATCCCCCGCCTAGTCGGACTCGAAGACGCAAAGATCACACAGACCCCGCGCGGCTGGCTCCCCGTATCGGTACACCCGCCCGAGAACACAGCACAAGATGGCGCGCCACCACGAGGCGCATTGCGGTGCATGTCTCTGGGCTTTCTGCTACGCGATCGAGGAGACGCGGTGATCTGGCGCGGCCCTAAGAAAACCGCTATGATCCGCCAATTCCTATCGGACGTTTCCTGGGGTCCCACGGATTATCTGCTCGTGGATACCCCGCCCGGCACGAGCGATGAGCATATAGCGTTGGCGGAGCAGCTGTTGACGCTGGCTTCGACGGACCCGGCTGTGTCGTCTATGGGCCGGCCCCGTTTGGCGGGTGCGGTGCTTGTGACGACTCCCCAGGCCGTGGCGACGTCTGATGTGCGCAAGGAGGTCAATTTCTGCGTTAAGACACAGATCCCGGTGCTGGGTGTGATTGAGAACATGTCCGGTTACACATGTCCTTGTTGTGGGGAAGTGAGCAATTTATTCTCCAGTGGCGGAGGTAAGGTCATGGCGGAGGAACTGGGGATCAGATTTCTAGGTACTGTGCCAGTGGATGTCAAGTTCGGCGAACTGGTTGAAGGGAAGATGGTTGTGGATAGTGACTCGGATGAGGAAGATGGGCCTACACAGGCTCAACAGCCAGAGGAGCCTGTCGACAACAGGCCGCTTGTTGAGCGGTATAAGGACTGCTGGTCATACACTCGATTTGAGGAATTTGCGAAGACATTAATATCTCAGATTGAGGGGGAAAGCGCGGCGAGTTGATATTTTCTAACGCCTTGATATGCATAATACTCTTCGTCACTAGCCTCATTTGTCTTCATTCATATACCACTATTATGGCTTTTATCCTGCCCTTTCTGCCCCAATAGAGTGCATTACCAGCCAAGTCCATATCATCTCAAAAGTTATCTTAGGAGACAATCATCGAATTACTTTCACATTGTCTTCTCCAAGGTCAACCTTACTAGAGCCCGGAATATTGATCACAGTCACAGTGAAGAAGAAAAGCATTGGCTTCTCCGCTCAGTGCACCACTCAACCACTGCACCAGGATAGATGGCACAGGAATAAAAGAAGTTTTGATTTTCACAGATCAGCGGCACAGGAGAATTGAGAGAAAGAAGCTACGCAATTCAACGGATTGAACATATAGTAGGGAATAACCGTACGGAATCAACCCCATCAACCATCCACGTCTAGCCTATGTTTCTTGACGGATGCTGTTCATTTTGTCTCTCAAGCATGGCACGCAGCAGCTTCTCAGCGGACCGAGGTTGGCCGTCTTGAGAAGCATTTCTGAGCCAGTTGAACAGCGCTTGCACATCTGTCAGTACGGACAGTTTATCTGACTGTCCAGGATCCCTTGTCGTGGTATCACCGTTCTCTCCTGCGGACAGCTGGCCTTGACGAGAGTCAGAAGGAAAGGTGTGCAATGAATGGCCGTTGGCTTGTGCGTCGAGGAGGATCTCTGATACAAGCGCAGGTGTCAGGATACTCTTAAGCTGGTCCTCTGTGATGCGTTCGTTCTGCTTTCCGAGCAATGTCCGGCCGTTTGAGTTCGGCTTCGACATGAATTCCCTAGTCGCAGGCAATGAATCTGCAACGGGGTCTGAGGTGTTTCCCTCGAGATTGGCAGGAAGGAGCGATCGCGGATTGTCAGACTGCGCGAGGACAGACAAGCCCTCCGCAACGGAGAACGGCACGAATGAGTGATACACCATTGTAGAAGATGTGATTGTAGAGGGTCCGGTCTGTTCTAAGTAACGATATTGAGGCACAGTGGTGTAATCCCGCACACCCATGACACTGTTACTGTCGTCATCAAAAATTATCACAGCATCATCAGGTTGTCGTTCATGGTCTGAGCTGGCTTCCTCGACAGTCAAGAGACCGCCAGGGGGGGCCCGAATTTCTCCCAAAGGCGCAATATGACTTCCATACTCGTTGGCCAAACTGAGTTTGCTACGGCCACATATTTCGCCAATCGTGTCCAAAGTACTTCGAATTTCAGGCTCGATGGCTCGCAAAATGCCATCGATACTAAAGTCTTCTTCCGAGGGAAGGCTTGGGCCACGCTTTGGCGTTCCAGATCGAACGGAAAATGGAAATGAACGCCGTGAAGGCATATTGGATGTTCCTCCAGTGTCATCTGTACTTCCAGAATAGGCCCGCACCAGTACCGGTTGAGAAGCTAACGTCGAGGACCGATTGCCAGAATGATTGGCCTGGCGATTCACCCAGGACAGAGGTCTGTGATTCCCATTGAGTTGACGTAAGGCAGTGGTGCGGTATGCCCGTGCGGAATTATCTAGAGCAAGGCCATAACGGCAGGAGCTTGCTTGATGAGATGGCCCAACAGTCTCGACCACAGGACAGGAATGAGACGGTGTGAGCTGTGACCATCTCTGGCCCGAGAGTGAGGACGATAGTCGGACTCCATCAGGGTGGGATGACAGCCTGTCTGACCTATAATCCATTATCGACAAAACAGGGTCCACAAAAAATATTAAGAAAGTTTCGATTTCTGGTTTGTTGTTAAAACCATCCCATCAGTCAAGGACGTCTCTGTCCAAATGTATTCGTTGCAGCTGTGATGCAGGAAGACGTGGAGGGAATACGGCCACCTGAATAACCCCGCCCTCATGCCGATTCGCAGCTGCGGCTGATCCTCCAACAGTAACAGGGAGTCAAGCAGCTGTCAAATCACAGCATGTACAAGGCAGGACACGTATCTACGCTCGAGGTTCTTGCCCAGAGGATCAAACCTGCATTGGCGCATGAGAAAGAGTGCCATGTTGGCATGCGTCTGAGAGACTCGGTAGACTCCAGTGTGAGAAAATTTCCAGGTAATGATAGCTCCAGCGGATGCCACTTTGCTCCAATTAGTGGGATTTTCGAAAGCAATGTAGTAAGACAATGCGTTGGCATGCGACAACGACGGCGATTACTTGTGTTATCACTTATCAATCTGCTAGTGGACGGAACAAACCACCCAAGGGGGGCCAGTTATGCGGACGGGTCGTTGTTGCTACTACTACCAACTCACAAACATCATGTCTTGAGTCCTTGACGAGCCAACCGGCTATGTTTCCAGTCCTTGCTCCTGAGATCCTATCCCTGATTGCATATTCAATCACCATTAATCTGCTCGACGGTTCCTCTCAATCCAAATGAACAGGTTTCGTGTATGCAAACACTCCGTGTATATACCCCATTGGCTCCCCCCTCCAAGGCACTGACAGTTCATGCTTATAGTTTGGCGACTCCGAGGAGTCGGCCTCAGATTTTGATGATGATACCTCCGACCTGCCATTCCCTGAGCCTCTCACTCGATCATCATTCCTCGCCCCCGACTTTGACCCCGCAGACTACCTGTCGTCCTTGACCAATCGGCACCAGAGCCTCGAAGACCTCCGACAAGAACTGCGGAATCTAGACCAGGCGCTCAGTCGGGAGTTGCTAGATTTAGTCAATGGGAACTATGTTGACTTCCTATCTCTTGGTAGTGCATTACAAGGGGGCGAAGAGAAGGTCGAGCAGGTTCGGGTTGGGCTGTTGTCATTTCAGAGGGAGGTTCAAGCTATACGGGACAAGGTGGAAGCGAGGCAAAGCGACATGGAAAAGCTCTTGAATGAAAAGAGGCGACTGACAGGGCATGCAAACATCGCTCGGGCTCTGTTGGACTTCGCAGAGCGTGTTGAGGACCTGGAGAAACGATTGATGATTGGCGACGCACCGACCCAGCACCAACTCGAATCGGCCGAGGTATTCGAGACAGACTCGGACCTGCTGGATAGTGAGAGTGAGGAAAGCGACGAAGAAGATCTGCCCACCGGCTCGTCTGCCGCGCCACTGGTGTCTCTGCGAAGACTGGAAAATCACATACAGAAATATGTCTACCTCACCCAACTCGCTTCGCGGATTGGCGATGATCATCCATTTTTACTTAGCCAACGACCCCGATTAGCGAAGATCAGGGCCACGGTGCTCGTGGACCTGAAGACAGCACTTGAGCAAGGCAGTCATGCTGGAGCGAGGCGAGATACGAAAACGATGGCCGTATTGCGACTCTACAAACTAATGGGCGAGGATACCAGTGCAGTAACCGCATTGAAGAACCTGAAGATATAAGCTTCACCCTTGTGCATTGCGCGAGCTTCATTTTGCATAGCAGAGGCGTTTATGATCCGGCTTGAGCTTCTAGAAATATATGTTCTCAGAAAACACCATTATGCACCGTGCTGTTCCCAAAGAATAACGTTATCTGTACAATATACACCCAAAAAAAAAAATGGACCAAGAAATCACATATGTTACAAGCCGGTCAAAGAAGCGGAGTCAGGGGAATTGTCGGACTTGAACTCTCCATTCAGACTGAAGCCGGGGCCGTTTGTCGAGCTCAGAACCTGGTGCGGGTTAGTACGGATTTCATAATCGCAATTTAAAAGGTCAACTTACAACTTCGTAGATCTCTTTAACAATGCGATCGTTGAGGCTGGCCACATCCTTCTTCACCTGTTCAATCGTCGCGCGCAAATTGTCCCTCAATTGTTCGGGAGAGAAGGCCAATTGCCCGATCGGTAGTCGAATAACGGCGTCACGCTCTCTGTATACCGTACCACCACGGAGCATCTCAACTCTAGCGGCTACATCTTCAACCACAGTACCGGTCTTGACACTTGGCATCAATCCTCTGGGACCAAGAATCCGGCCCAGCCCGGCTTTGTTCAAAGCGTCCAAACTATCGGGGTGACAAATGCAGCGATCGAATTCGATCTTGCCCGCTTTGACCGCGTCGAACACGTCCTGTTCACCTACCAGAACAGCTCCAGCTGCGCGGGCTTCCTTCTCGTGTCTTGTTCCAGGAGGGCACACGACACAGATTCGCGATTCGGTCTGGACGGAGTGAGGAAATCGGAGCATGTTACGGATAACCGGCCCGTCTCGCTTTGTTTTCAAACGGATATGAATTTCGTATTTGGAGACAGTCGGTTCGCGACCGACTTCGAAAGCGCGGAGATATCTGCAGTAGAATAGTCAGAGATTAGCGAGATATGCGAGTGAAGCGCCTCAGCCCAGACAATATCTACCTTACGGCATCGCAGAGCGCGAATTGCTCAACATCCTTGAGATCTTTCTGCTGGAACTCCCTGGGACCCTTCTTTTCCTTCTTGCTCTTTGCCTTGGCCTTTTTACCTTGGGCCTGAGGGTTGCTCTTGGCTCCTCGGACCTGTTGGTAAAAGCTTGAGAGCAAAGGCGCCATTGTTCTTTGACGAAGAGGCGATTGACATGTTGAGAGAATGCCCCTTGCCGCAGACGGCAAGATCGAGCCGAAGGAGGACATGGTTTGGAGAGTTTGATCGATGCGAGCCTTCGCAAAACTCCTGGGATACGGAGATGTTTTCTTCTCCGAAAGCTCTCTCTCGGCGATGCGGGCGGAGAAACGTGACGCCGGCGGAGTCCCTTTTGAGTCAAATGCCCCTCCATACTGCTCGATTTTTGGGGAAATTCAATAATAGCCCACTTGTTACGCTCTCGGACGTTGATTTCACTCGAAGCGATTTTGAGGGCTGCAATGTCTCAGTATCAGCTTACTCTGGCCACCAGGGCCAATCAGCCCTATGTGCTTCCTGTCCTGCTGGTCGCGAGTTCTATCAATGAGGCGCGACCAAGCCCAGTGATATCGATCACCTACGAGGATACTGCATTTCTTCGTGAAGGAGATAAGGCCGTCGTGCAATACACCGGAGCTAGCGGTAATCCTGTCTTTGGCCTTATCAATGCTATTCAAGAACTCCGCAAAGACTTCCCCTTCCTTAACAGCAAGGATGAGAAGCTGGTAAGAGGCGCCAGAGAACCTGACCGTTGATGGGCACTGATAGGAGATGCTAACACACGTTTTCTAGGAGAATGAGTGGCTGTCTCGGCTAGAAGCATTTGCTCCTCTCGATTTCAAAGCCCTTGACCCTGAATTGCAACGTCTCGATACCCACCTCCTGCTGCGATCCTTCGTTGTCGGTTACTCTCTCTCCACAGCCGACATTGCCCTTTGGGGTGCCATCCGAGGCAACCGGGTCGCAGTTTCGGCGATCAAGAAGGGCTCACTTGTCAATGTGACTCGCTGGTTCTATTTCTTGGAGGATCTTTGCCCATGGGCCACATCTGCACTTGAGGCCCTGAACCAGGCTGCGAGAGAGAAGAAGGCCGCCAAGGCGAAGGAGGGAGCCAGCTACGACATCGCTCTTCTCAATACTGAGAAGGGTGTGGTGACAAGATTTCCTCCTGAGCCTTCAGGTTATCTTCACATCGGTCACGCAAAAGCTGCACTGCTCAATGACTACTTTGCGCACGAGAAGTATAATGGTACCCTTCTTGTCCGCTTCGACGACACAAATCCTTCGAACGAGAAGCTCGAGTTCCAGGACGCGATTATCGAAGATCTTGCTCTCATGGGCATCAAGCCCGACAAGATGAGCTACACCAGCGACTACTTTGACGAGCTCCACCAGTACGCCCTTCAAATCATCAAGGACGGAAACGCCTACGCCGACGATACCGAGAAGGAGGTCATGGCTGAGCAGAGAATGAATGGAAAGCCCAGCAAGCGTCGTGATGCGTCCGTCGAGGAGAACCTTGCCCGTTTCGAGGAGATGAAAAAGGGTACCCCTGAGGGTCTCCGTTGGTGTATCCGAGCCAAGATGTCTGTTGATAACCCCAACAAGGCCATGCGTGATCCTGTCATCTACCGCTGCAACCCTGCTCCTCACCACCGCACTGGAGCGAAGTGGAAGATCTACCCTACCTACGATTTCGCCTGCCCTATTGTCGACTCAATTGAGGGTGTGACCCATGCCCTCAGAACTATTGAGTACCGCGATCGCAACCCTCAATACCAGTGGTTCTTGGACACGCTCAAGCTTCGCCATGTCCAAATCTGGGATTTCGCTCGCATGAACTTCATTCGCACCTTGCTGTCTAAGAGAAAGCTTACCAAGCTCGTTAACCAAGGCGTCGTCTGGGGATGGGATGAGTAAGTCTACCTTTACTTCAAGTGATTCTTGTCTTACTAACGATGTCAGTCCTCGTTTTCCTACCATCCGAGTAAGTAACAGGACTAACCATTCCT